TATATATATATATAATATATAGTAATATAATATCTATACTATATATTCCATAGATCGATGCCAAGATACTTCCCTCACTCACTTCCTCACTCACAGCCGGCCTTACTCCACCCACGTGTGCGGCTCTGCGGTGAAAAAGGAAGTCTTTATTGGGGTTTTATATCGGGGAAAATTGCTCTGTTATTTTTTTTTTTTTTTTTTTTTTTTTTTTTTTTTTTTTTTTTTTTGAAGGGGGGAATTGGGGGCGGGGTGGGGGTGACGTCAGTGTTTGTACGTTGTTGCTTTATGTGTAATTTTATAATCTTATATTATTTATCTGTTATATTTATTTATTTTTTCTTCTGTCTGTCTCTGTTTTCATCTCTCTCATCTCTCTATACTCTCTCTCTCATCGTGTCTGTCTGTCTCTTCTCTATATCTGACTCTTACTCTGTCTTGTGCTGTTCTGTTCTGTCCTGTGTTCTCTTCCTCATTACTCTCGTCTCTCATCTCTCTCTACTTCTACTATATATATATATAATAAGATTCACTCTTTGAGATCTCTCTCTCTATCTTATTATTCCTACTCCTGGGTCTCTCTGGACTAATTGTGTCGTCTCTGCTTTGTCGCTCTCTTCCTGTCTCTCGTGCTGCTGTGTTTTTTCGTGGTCTCTCTGTAGTTGTACTCTGTGTGTGCTGTGTGTATCCTATATCTCTCTCTGTCGTTGTTCTCTCATCTATATCACTTACTCCTCTCTCTCTTGCTTATACACTACCATTCTTATCTCGTTTATCTCTACTCGTCTCATCTCTACTCCTCTTCTTCTCTCTCTCTCTCTCTCTTCTCTCTCTCAGTCTTCATTCTCTCTTCTCTCTTACTATCTACCATCTCTTCTATACTCCTCCTCCCTCCCTCACCTCCCTCCCTCATTTATTAATCCACTGCACCATCATATCTTCTACCTGTCACACCACTCCTCGCACCCGCTCTCTCACACACACACACACACACACACACACAATCTTCCACACACACACCACAACACACACACACATCTACCATCCCTTGCTCTCTCTATCTCTCTCATCTTCTCACACATATCCCAACACACATATATATTCTCTCTCTCCTTTGAATTCCTTCTTCCAGAAAATATTCGTGTTTTAGGAAACTTTAAATTTTTTAAATCGAATATGAATGTGTCGCGAATAAAATTGCAAAGTCATCGTGCTAGTACCTTGGTGTGACGTCAACAAAGGCATGATGTCACCGCCGTTTAAAAGTCAGCGCAAATGAGAAGGCAGGTCATGAACGATGGCGTCATCGACAGAGTAGACCGTCACGGCTTCCTTTGACGTCATTCGTCGCCACAATGAGTCCTGAATAGGTGACTTTTATAATGATGATTGTCATCGGTCTTGCTTCTTGCACTGTTGCCATATTGTTGGTTATGATTTTTGTTGAATTGGTGGGTTTTATTGTTATCGGATGTTCTTATTGTTGATTTGTCCTCATTTTGCTTGTTTTTGTATAATATTTAGTATTATATTATTGGAATATATTGTAATGTATGATTATGTATAATATAATATTACTCACACCATACTGCACTGATCATTTTATCTTCACATACACAGACCTTCTCTGCTCCGCATCGATGAGCAGAGAGAGTGCAGAAGAGAGAGAGAGAGAGAGTGACGAGAGAGATGATGCACGCGAGAGAGAGAGAGAGAGAGAGTGAGAGAGAGAGAGCAGAGAAAGAGATAGAGGCATGCAGGAAATGCACAGATCGAGAGGACGAAAGAGAGCAGAGAGATGAGAAAGTGAGTGCTGCAGTGCAGTCACGCATGCGAATACAACATCCTCAGCGAAGTAGAGTCTCCTCTAGCAGATGAGGAGGAGAAGAGAGAAGAGCACGAGATCGCAGTGAGCAGAAGAGAGATGATCGGAGAGTGAAAGACGATGAGCAGTAGCAGAATGTCTCCGATACGATAGTACGCACGTGTCACTCACGATCTCATACTGCTCACTCGTGCTCTCATCTCGTCTCTCAGTCTCTCTGCTCATAGGTCGTCTCATCTCTCTTCTGAATACAATCTCATCTCAGAGTACGAGTACGCATCGCAGAGTACGATAACTGCTAGACAGGTCGTACGCATGTCAGAGAGATCGTCATGCACGTCAGTCGTACGATCTCGATAGAGACTGCAGACGAGATAGAAGAGAAGCTACTGCTCGCACGCAAGAGAGAGAAGAAGGTAGAGACAGTCATCGTCGAAATAATACATAGCAGCATGATAGCACGCAGTAGAGGAGAGAGGGGAGAAGGAGAGTCGAGTAGCGAGAGAGAGAGAGTACTCGGAGAGATCGCCAGAGACGCAGTACGATCGAGAGACGAGAGTAGAGAGAGAGAGAGAGAGAGAGTCGATGAGAGAGAGGAGAAAGGTAGAGAGAGAGAGCGAGAATACATCCTCCTCTCATCATCTGCAGAGAGAGAGGATGCATGCTACTCGCTCAGATCTCTGCTCAGTCAAGGGTATGATGCAGAGGTCTCATGTCTTCGATCTATCATGCTCACGTCAGTGTACTCTTTACGTCGCTGTCTCTAAAGGAGGATATTTGATGACAAATAAAGATAAGTGAAGAAGTGTATCTTCAGTTTCATATGTTACATCTTCGAATTCATGATGTTTGTGAATGAATGTAATGCTATTACTTTGTAATTTTTATTTTGATTTATTTAACTTTTTTGTATATGTGTGCGTGTACTAGACGTGTTTTTTTATACATCATTCGTAATATTTAAGAACGTATATTAATGTATAGATAGTTGCTAAATAGTGTAGATTAAACTAAATTGTAACTTTTTATTTTCTCTTTTAGTTCCCATTTACATTCTATACCTGTTCCATTTCGTAAAGCATGCTTATAATTATTATCCCTATTCCAGTTCCATTTGCCTTTAGTGGGAATCCGTAATGTCGATTTTCGGTTCCACATTCCAGTTTCATCGACGATCCGCAATTCACGATTGACAGACATGGCCATTCCTATTCCAGTTGCGAGATGGGCATTGGAAATAGGTTTTTCAAAATCAATCATACAGCGCGTATTTCAATTCAATTCAGTTCCTAAACATCTACGAGGTAATAAATTAGTAACCGCTCCATGTGCACTTTACCCATTCCATTCCCCATTCCAATTACCGCGGCAATATTAAAGAAATCCATGTTTTTCGATCTATCTCCAGTTTATAGATTCCAATTCGCAGCATACAGGCACGACTCTGCCGTGTCATAACCCCACGCCCCGCCCCATTCCCCAATTCCAGCTCAGGCATGCTCCCATTCATAACCCGGCCCATTCCATTCACCCAATTTCAGCTCAGATCGCGATCCGAGTCGACGGCCCATATCCATTCCAGCTTCAGGCACGACCCCATTCCGCAGTCAATTACCAGGCTCAGGGGAACGATTCGCCAATTCCAATTCCAGCTCAGGGACGAGCAGCCCATGTCCATTCCTAGATTACCAGCTCAGGGACGACGCCATATGCCCATTACCCAATTGCACGACATCAGGCACGACGGCCACAGAATGTCCACGAATGTCGAAGTTCGCAGCTGCAATGGACGACCACGCACAGTTCCACCATGTCCAATTCCGAGACTGCAGAGCAAGGAACCCAATGATGGATTGACCAATGTATCCGGCCTTACCAGGAACGACCCGATCATGTACCCAGTTCCAATTCCCAGCTCAGGCAACGACCACCATTCCCATTCCAGATTCCAGCCTGCATGGACGACCCACATTTCCACATTCCAATTCCACAGCATACAGGCAAGACAAAAAGTAACCCGCCCATTCCTTGTCCAAATTCAGACTCAGGGACGAACCCCCATTTAATCCCAATTCCAACTTCCAGCTTCAAGGCACGAACCCCCATTCCCATTACCAATTCCAGCTCATGGACGACCTCCCATTCCCATTCACACTTCACAAGCTCAGGCACGACCCCATTCACCATATACAATTCCCAGCTCCACGGGACGACACATTCCCTTCCAATTCCAGCTCAGGGACGACCCCCATTCCCATTCCAATTCCAGCTCAGGCACGACCAGACCAGCCATTCCCCGTTCCTAATTTTCCAAAGCTCAGGCACGACCCCATTCACAGTTCTCCGTTCACCATTTCCCAACATTCCCATATCCAATCGAATCCAAATTATTCAAAAAACTTAGTCTTTTTTTCTTTTTCTTCAACAAGACGCGCAAAAATAAAGATATGTTTCTTTCTTTTTTCCTATGTATCTTGTTTTATTCAGATATGAACCGCACGAAAAATTCATTTCTTGCACGATTCTGTCTATGTTTGCCTTTTTGTCTTTTTTCTGGTGATTTTCGTTTACACAGAAGGCCAGAAATTAAAACTTGTTTTTTTTCTTTTTTTTAATTTGATATGTTTTTATCTTCTTTTTTCGCTTCACAGACCCAAAAATTCATTTCTTCCTACTTCTGTCATGACTTTTTCTTTATTAATCTTTGTTTTGGGTGGGATTCACAAGGCCCAAAAAATTAAAAAAAGGCTTTTTTTCTTACTCATCCTCTCTCTTTATGTGTCTTGCTTAGTTGTCTTCACAGACCCAGAAAATTCATCGTCTATCCGTTCCTCTCCTACGCTTCTTCGAGATCCTTTTTTACGCTTATTGATTCTTGTTTATTACTCGGCTATCACAGACCAAGGATTAAAAGAGGGTTTTTTCTCTCTCTCTCTCTCTTCTCTCTTTGACCATCGCACAGGAGCAGGGGGAAGCAAGTTACGTGAGAGAGGAGAACGTGACAGGGGAGGATGCACGGGGGATGCAGGGCTGTTGCGTGCATGTTGCAGGCACTGGCCTCCTACTGATGGCACTGGGCTGGTTGGGGTTAATGCTCGGAGGCGTTGGCAGAGGTGTGGTGTTGGCAGTGGGTGGTGTGGGAAAGTGGTGTGGTGTTGGAGGGTGTGTGTTTGGCAGAGGGTGTGGTGTTGGGAAGTGGGTTGGTGTTGGCAGAGGGTGTGGTGTTGGCAGAGGGTGTGTGTTGGACAGGTGGTGTGGTGTTGGCAGAGGGTGTGGTGTTGGCACGGGTGGGAAATCTGGGGAAATTTTCGTTAGTTTTGAGGGTATGTGTGTGTGTGTGTGTGTGTGTTGGCACTGGTGGGAAATTAGACGGAAATAGGAATAGATTAATGGAATAGAAATAATGAAGAAAACGCTATTGCAATGGAATGAGGATAGCAATAAGAATGAATGAAAAGAATAGAAGAAAATGAAGAATGAATAATGTTATTGATGTTATATTATATTTTTCACTTGTTGGCACCTGTTGATTAGAAACTATATTACGTTATATTAAATGTAATTACCACCTGTTGATAATAATTAAGGATTTGGTAGTATTGCATCATCGTGACACTAATTACATGTTGGTGCATCATTAGGACTAATTACATGTTGCCCTTAATTAATAACTCTTTTGAATGAGTTTGTTGTCAGTAGTTCCTGTTGGCACTCATTAGAAATGTTGGCACTGCTCTTTGATAACTTCTCGCAGATTATAGTGACACTGACAATGAGGTTTTATGGTTTATAGTGACTGACAATGAGGTTTTATGCAGTTTATAGTGACACTGTCAATGAGGTTTTTTGCAGTTTATAGTGACACTGACAATGAGGTTTTTATGCAGTTTATAGTGACACTGACAATGAGGTTTTATGGTTTATAGTGACACTGTCAATGAGGTTTTATGGTTTATAGTGACACTGACAATGAGGTTTTATGGTTTATAGTGACACTGACAATGAGGTTTTATGCAGTTTATAGTGACACTGACAATGAGGTTTTATGCAGTTTATAGTGACACTGTCAATGAGGTTTTATGGTTTATAGTGGACTGACAATTAGGTTTTTTGCAGTTTATAGTGACACTGTCAATTAGGTTTTATGCAGTTTATAGTGACACTGACAATGAGGTTTTATGCAGTTTATAGTGACACTGTCAATGAGGTTTTATGGTTTATAGTGACACTGACAATGAGGTTTTTTGCAGTTTATAGTGACACTGTCAATTAGGTTTTATGCAGTTTATAGTGACACTGACAATGAGGTTTTGTTTTTAGTGACATGGAATGGTTTATAGTGACACTGACAATGAGGTTTTTGGTTTATAGTGACACTGACAATGAGGTTTTAGGTTTTTATAGTGACACTGACAATGAGGTTTTTTGCAGTTTATAGTGACACTGACAATGAGGTTTTATGGTTAATAGTGACCTGACAATGAGGTTTTTTGCAGTTTATAGTGACACTGACAATGAGGTTTTTTAGTTTATAGTGACACACTGACAATTGAGGCAGTGTGACACTGACAATGAGGTTTTTTGCAGTTTATAGTGACACTGACAATGAGGTTTTATGGTTTATAGTGACACTGACAATGAGGTTTTTTGCAGTTTATAGTGACACTGACAATGAGGTTTTATGCAGTTTATAGTGACACTGACAATGAGGTTTTTGCAATTAGTGACACTGACAATGAGGTTTTATGGTTTATAGTGACACTGACAATGAGTTTTTTTGCAGTTTATAGTGACACTGACAATGAGGTTTTATGCAGTTTATAGTGACACTGCCAATGAGGTTTTATGGTTTATAGTGACACTGACAATGAGGTTTTATGCAGTTTATAGTGACACTGACAATGAGGTTTTTATTGGTTTATAGTGACACTGCAATGAGGTTTTAGGTGACACTGACAATGAGGTTTTATGCGTTTAGTGGACACTGACAATGAGTACACTGACAATGAGTTTTTGCAGTTTATTGACACTGACAATGAGGTTTTATGGTTTATAGTGACACTGACAATGAGTTTATGCAGTTTATAGTGACACTGACAAT